CATATTTTTAGACTGCAGTCACCATGACCAGTCCTGCTTGCAAAAAGTGCTAGTTGCAATCTATGTACCCTCTTAATTTTCAGCCTCGTTGGGGGGAACTCCTCTCTCTCTCTATTGTGGCTTCACCCGTGTGTGCACATGATTCTGCCCCCCCCATGCGCTGGGTTCTGTCACCTAATTTGATCACTGTGTGGGAGGAGGAAGAGAGCTCTGCGGAGGGAAGCTGAGTTGTGCCTGCGTGTACCCAGCTTAGCGGGAACCTTGGTTGCAATCCAACACACATGGAAGGGATCATATTGGACGTGCATGTTGCAGGAAGCACAACTTGCATTCCCTGAGACTTGTTGTTTGCTTCCTTCCTCCAAGCAGCAGAATGATCTGACAAAACAACTAATTTCAATATTTTATTTGAACAGATATAGAAAATATACAACAATATACAGAACAATGTTTACAGTACAAAAATCTGTATCAGCCAAACTTTAAATTATGTATTTCCCTCCTACTATCAAATAAACAGAATTAAGAAGTCCACGGGGTCTTAAACTGAATGCCCAATAAACATAATGAAACAGATTCTGTTAAAATAATTAATACAGATTAAATTTGACAGGTGGCTCTAGGATAAATAGCACTCTGAGAGGTACTTCTGGTGCCCACCCATCTCCCACGGTCAGCTCTGCAGGGTCACCAAGTTGGGGCAGATGTAGTTTCATGGTCCAACACCTTACAACATCTATGTTGTAGCACAGTGTTGGAGCACTCACCACCTCTTGAAGTAATTGATTCCATTGCCACACTGTTCTAACAGTTCGGAAGTCTTTCCTGCTATTCAACCAAAATCTGGCTTCCTGTAACTTGAGCCCATTGTTGTGTCTCCTGCACTCTGGGATGATCTCGAAGAAATCCTGCCCTCCTCTGTATGACAGCCTTTCAAGTATTATTATATCTCCCCTCAGTCTTCTTTTCTCAAGGCTAAACATGCCCAGTTCTTTCAGTCTTTCCTCTGGCTCTGGGGATTTGAACTTGTTCAAGGTAGCAAGGTATTCCTTGACTATTTATCAATCTCACATTTGTCTCGAAAGCTATAGTCTGTCCTTTGGGAAAAGACTGAACTAAAAAAAACACTGAGCACTTCTGCCTTTTCTCTTTCTTCTATAATTTTCCTGTCTCCATTGAGTAGCTGAGCCACTGTTTCATTTCTTGTCTTTTGCTATCCACATACCCAAAGAATGCTTTTTTGTTGTTGCTTTTAGTTTTTCTAATTAACCTCAGCTCATTCTCAGCTTTTGCCCTCATAATGCCATCCCCACAATTACTTGCTATTTGTTTGTGCGCTTCCTTTGTGGCCTGGCCTCATTTCCACTTCCTAATCGTGCCCTTTTTATTTCTAGGTCATGTCTGATCTTTTTTGTGAAGCCACAGTGGCCTTTTTTGCTGTCTCTCCCTTTTTTTCCTTGTTGGAATTTTTTTTAGTTGTGCCTTTAGAACTTTTTTAAAGAAACTCCCACCTTTCTTGGACTCCATCTCCTGCCACTGGATCTTACTTATCATTGTCCTGAATTTATTAAAATTGGCTTTTAAAAAAATCCAGCATATACTTGTGGCTACACCCTGCTTTGGTTTCCCTTGAAATCAAGAATTCTAGTAGAACATGGTCACTCTCATCCAGAGTTCCCCTTACTGCCACTTCCTCCACCAATCATCTCTATTTGTTAGAATCATGTCAAGGATAGGTAGCCCTCTAGTTTCTTTCCCCACTTTTTGTAAGAGAAAATTATCAGCCACACAAGCCAAGAGTTTCTTGGAAGGACCATACTTGGCACAAGTTGCCTCCCAATAGATATCAGGATAATTTAAATCTCCCATCACTACTACATTGTGTCTCTTTGAAATGCTTGTATAATTTTAATGTAGACAAAGGAGAAATTGAAACTGTTAAAGATTTTTTGTACTTTAAATCAATCTTTAATCCAAATTGATTGGTGCCAAGAAATAAGATTACTGAAATTTGTAAGAGTGACTACCAAGGAACCAGAAAAGATCCTTGAGTACAAGAATGGGTCACTGGAGACTAAAGTCAAGATTACCTACCTGATGGTATTCCTGAATATATCCATGGTTATAAAAACATAATGAAGAAGACTGATTTTAAAAAAATCAAATAATTTGAAATGACTAGAAGAGAGCTTTGCAGATAACCATGGACTGCCAGAAAGACAAATAATTGGGTTTTAGATTTTAAAAAAAGCTGCTTTGAAGCTCTCCATAGAAGCATAAATGATGAAGCTGAAGTAATCTGGGTACATCACAAGAAGACAATTTAATAAGAACACTGTAATTCCAAGAAAAGTTGAAGGCAACAGGGAAAGAGGAAGATAAATTATGAGATATATTGACTCAATACAATATTTGTTTATTTATTTAAAACATTTACATCCTGCTCTATATTATAGGATCTCAGATTGGGTTACAGAACTGTATAAAACATATGTCAAGGCCTTGCATTTGCAAGACCTGAGTAGGGATGCTGATGATAGGAAATTTTGGAGGTCACTAATTCATAGGTTTTCCATAAGTTGCCAATTAATTGATGGCTCATAAAACTTGTTAATCTTCGAGTTAAAATCCATGCCCACAGCTTGACTTTGTCCTGGGTCCTAGCAGAATGATAGACAGCTGCTGCCGCCACCACTGGGGGTGGGACCAGTGGTGCTCACAAGAGTAATCTAAGGAGCTATTTGAAGGAAGGGGACCTCTGAGGCATAGGCATCACAGCATATTAGACTGAGCAGACTAGCTGTTCAGTGTTACAGTATATTGGCTAGATTAATACACTGATCTAATACATTGTGAACAGACCACAAAAATAACTGTGTTACTGTTACGGCTTTCACAACCAGATGTATTACAGTACCAGAGAGGTTGGTTTCAATTAAAATAAATAATTTCAATTACAAATTTTTAAGGCGGTGAGTAACCATGGCTGAAATTGATGGTTGTCATGGGCTTTTTGGGCTCTTTGGCTGTGTTCAGAACATGGCCAAAGAGCCCGAACAACCCACAACAACCATCAGATCCTGGCTATGAAAGCCTTCGAGAATACATGGCTGAAATTGTTTTGCATAAAATGATTCATTGTCTTCTTACACTTTTTCGGGGGGTTCTTGTTCATCTTACTACAATCACTGACATCTTCCTACAGTGACACTTTCCCAATAGTAAAGATAGATTTATTTCTTTGTTCTAGCAGCATATAGCGTCCTGGCAGCTATCATTCTTTCTGATGACATTTAATTAAGACATAGAGAAAGTGACCTTTTTTCTTTCATTTTCATCATACCATGCCCAGGAGTCTCAGGCTAAATCTGTAGCCACTTTTACTTTTACTCTTTTGGAATTATATTTTTTTGAAAAAGGCACTAGGTCATTTTAAATTGAATGTGGAAAAAAAGAAAAAATGCAGTTGAATGTAATCAGTTCATCACTCTATCCATTACATCGCATTGGGTCCAATTTAATAGGAAATAATACTGTGTTTCCCCGAAAATAAGACAGGGTCTTATATTAATTGTTGCTCCAAAAAACACATTAAGGCTTATTTTCAGGGGAAGTTTTATTTATTTTTTCATGTACAACAATCTACATTTATTCAAATACACTCAGGTCATCTTCTGGTTGCTGCACAATGGTGATGGGCGGGCTTTCACTTAACTAGGGCTTATTTTGGGGGTAGGGCAGCCGTTTTCGGGCCCTGCCCTCGCTTAGCGAAGGCGCGAAAATGGCTGCCGGCAACTGGAATCCTCGCTGAACGGGTAAGAACGGGTAAGTAACAAAGGTAATGCGTTTCAATACATTTCCCCTACCCGTTTAGCGACGATTTCGCATAGCGAGGGTTAATCCGGAACGGATTAACCTCGCTATGCGGGGCACCACTGTACTGTGTTTCCCCGAAAATAAGACAGGGTCTTATATTAATTGTTGCTCCAAAAAACACATTAGGGGTATTTTCAAGGGATGTCTCTATTTTTTTCATGTACAACAATCTACACTTATCCAAAGACAGTCAGGTCATCTTCTTCTGGTTGCTGCACAAGGGTGGGGGGCGGGGTTTCACTTAACTGGGGCTTATTTTGGGGGTAGGTCTTATTTTCAGGGAAACAGGGTATTCCCTATTATTCATACAGCTATAATTACTTTGTTGGAGTTTTAATTTTATTCTATATGAACTGTGCTGATTTTATTTTTAAAAACCAAAGGTAGGGATAATAAGTGAACACAAAAGAACAGAGAGGATTTTGCCAGACTGTATAGACTTGAAAAATATTGTTTAAGGTCCTTGCCAGTATCTCTGATTCAATGGTAGCATTATTCTACCCATTCAATATCTAATTTAAAAAAAAATACAAAAGGAGAACCAAAATGTCCCATGTCTTTTATAATTAAGTACAGTTTATATTAAGTTTTCAACATCTGTTATGTGATTGTATTTGCCAGACAGATGTCACTGAACTAGGCCTTAAACCATGGGATTCTGAATTTAATCATGCTGATGACTCACTCGGTGGAATGCTGGACTGAGAAAGCTCATTTCCTCCATTACTCATAAGTAAAATATGTTTGGAGCCCAGCCTGGTCAGCACATTAGGAATGTGAAGAGTAGTTCTATTACTCTTTTGTAATTACACTAGGTCATTTTATACTGAACGTAGGGGAAAAGTGGAGGGGGGTAGGGGAAGGCAAACCTCTGTTCTTTATTGAAGACTTCACACAAGTACCTGAAAGCTGTTTGAAATGTAATAGCATGGTGGCTGATTGTGTGAAGGAGCTCTGGGGGTAATTTCTGAAAAACTGAACACTGTTATAATAGTCCCATGTAGAGAGAGAATCTGGTGACTATCTAACCCACTGGTTCTTAACCTTGGGTTACTCAGGAGTTTTGGACTGCAACTCCCAGAAGCCTTCACCACCAGCTGTGCTGGCTGGGGTTTCTGGGAGTTGCAGTTCAAAAACATCAGAGTAACAAAGGTTAAGAACCACTGATCTAACCAAGTGACAGCAGAAACAAATCAGCGTAATAATTTTAGGATTAAAATGAATTTTAAATTTGCATTTGCATTAAAAGAATGTATTTTTATTAGGCAAACTTGAGTTATGAACAGTGTTATGAACACCCTTTCCGCACACAGCATCTTAAGATTGTGACTCTATGGTTCTAATATCAGACATTTTTCTCCTGTCCACTTCCGTTTTATTTTTCTTTAGCTTCCTGAAGAGATCTCGAAAACCAGAAAGCTTTCATGCTCTTATGATCTTTAAGCTTCCCCACTAAAGAGATTATCATGAGATGGATATTCTAATTTTTCATATGACCAACATGGCTACCTGGCCTTTTGTATATTCTTATTTTGTTTCCTTTAAATCTCGTGGTGTGTAGTCAAAACTATATCTGGTCTCCCTGAAGCTACAGAAAAACAATCCACTAATCAGAACACATGTTAACTGTACAGGTACACATATATCTGTACGAATTCCAGAATTCAGTTTTACAAGAAAATGGAAATGGTTGGCAGAAACAGAAAGAGGATACTGGTTGTGCGAAAGGGACCAGGGGATAATAATCATAGGGCAGAAAAAGCCCAAGCCTATCTGGGCCTACTTCCATTTACTACTCTTTGCATGGCTTTCTCTACAGTCACATACGAAGAGCTTCCCAAAGGTTGTGCAAGCCCCAACCAATGACTACTGCCAATCTTCTTCCATTCTTTTGGACTGCAGATCCCAGAATCCTCCAGTCAGCATGAATAGGGGATTCTAGACTTGCAGTCTAAAAAACACACAACCCAAAACAAAACCAACTCCATTCAGAGTCATCATAAGCAGGGCATGCAGGTGATGGTCTTCCCCATAGTCTCTCCCCAACACCTGCCTCAACATAAGATGACAGCAGGGGATCAACATCACAAGGTAGCGGTAAGAACCCATACAGAAAAAGGGCCCCCTATTCCTTATCTCAGAGCACCTTGGCTCTCATGGTCCTTCACCTTGCTTTCCATTCATCTGCAAGCATGGGAACAGGGACAAGAAGTGGGTGAAAGAGGCAGTGTGAACTGCGTGCTTCTCCCTCTCCCTCCAGGAGGCAATGGAGACCAGCCCCAGAAGAAGGCAAACAAATAGTCAGCCGTGACAGAAGCAAAGAAGTTAACAGTCCATTTGTAACAATTTCATTGCACAGAACTAGTAATAGTCTTAGTTAACTAATATTATCATTTCAGTAAGTCAGACCATCCAGTAGGGGCTCATTTGCATGTTACTGACCCTTGATTCATGTGGGGGAGGCTTCTTTTGTTTATCCCACCACATCTGCTATGTTAATTTCAATCAGCACATTTTTACATCTGTGAGCGTTTTTATTCCTGTGGAAGGCTTTGCTGTGCACTCTACCTAACGGATCAGCAAAACTGCTAGCTGGAGTGCTCAGAATTCCAGAATCCTTTTGTTAACAGAAGCAGAACAAAAAAAACAAAGGATACAGTAGAGAACTCAATATAACTGGCTGAAATATATTTTTTTCCACTTCAAAGCTATTTTTAAGAGGTCTTCTTTGCTAAAACATCTGTGTACAAGTCCGCATTACAGCACAAATTAGAAAAGTGGCAATGAGGACTGCCCTGCACATAATAAATTTCTTCTCTGACAGTCACAGAAACATGAAATGTTGAGAAAGTGCTTCAGCCTTCCATGGCTGGGCTTCGCTAAGGCATAGCTTTCTCACACTCTGAGATGACATCCATCTACAAATTTTTTTAGATATTCAGTAGGAACCGCTCTCAAACTAGAAGTTCATTACTTGAAGCCATCTGGCTTTTTCAGTCTTTGAGCATTTTCTTCCTTATGTATTCAGCTACCACTTCTGTTCAAGTTCACACATCAAAAAACATTACTCAAAGCCAAATGACAATATGTTTAACATGAAATCACACATTGTACAATAGGCACATATATGTATCTTCAAATTTAATGCATGGTTCTAACTTTTTATTACTAACAATATCTATTACCTTAGCATCCCTTTAAAACATGGGATTCATCAACCATTACAAGTATGAAAGTATTAAAGTCATACAAATAAGTTTTACTTTTATAGTGTATAAAAAGAGAAATCCTATACATAAATATTTACACGGTACTTCACCTGAGTCATCTTTTTGTGCACAGCATAATTAGAGACTGTTTAGAGTCTTTTTTCCTCATTCATTTATATAAGGAATCTTTCATCCACCAATGTTTTGGATGCCAAGTTCTTCTGTCCAACTGTATTACGAATGAACCTAAAAATCTGAACATAAAAACCCAGCTTCAAATATTATGGGTAAATTGCAGAAAATACTGTCTACATTATAGTAAATAGTTAAATGACAGCTTTTTAAAAACACAAGTTTTTAAAAGAGAGGGAACTTTAGAAATAAATATTCATTTTCCTTGCCTTTCCAATGCAAAATAATTTCCTTTCCAAAAAAAACCCCCATCTGTTTATCTTCAAAGTAGTTTCTGGTCTTTTCTCCAAACATCTTTCTTACTGCAATATCTTTACGACTGTCTAGCTAACAGCAAGAAAAAATATCTTTCTATGGTTGTATTGCTAAATTACTCTAGATGTTCAGAAAAGAGGCACCAAAAGCAACATCACAGCTGTTAAGATTTAATTCTGTAAAATGTAACCCTATAAAACATGGTTGGGCAACTTCCAGAGGACCTGGTTGCACATCCTCACTTCTGCATTTCACTTATGCATCCCTAAAATAAGTTTTCTAATTCCCTTTAATTGAAGAGGCCCCTTGTGTCCTCTAATGCAGGGTACCCAACCCCCGGTCCGTGGCCTGGTACTGGGCCATGGCAAGACTGGGCCACAGAGATGAATCTCCTGCCCCCCTGCATGCACTCCCCCCTGCACGCCTACCCGCACACATGGGTGCCTGCCCACTCGCACATGTGCATGAGCGTGCCTATCAGCAAGTGCACCATGCCCATTCGTGAGCATACCCAGCCTCCCCACACGAGTGAGCGTGCCCCCATCCATAAGCGCACGCCCCCATGGATGTGGAAGCATGCACCCATCCAACTGCGAGCACCCCATCCTCATTCACAGACCTCACCCCCCCAACTGATCCATGGTTTGGAAAAGGTTGTGGATCCCATGGATGTGGAAGCATGCACCCATCCACCTGCGAGCGCCCCATCCCCATTCACAGACCTCACCCCCCCAACTGGTCCATGGTTTGGAAAAGGTTGTGGACCACTGCTCTAGTGGCAATTTCTAAATTCTTTACCAGTGGTATGGTAAACAGGAGCCTCCAAAATATGACAAAATTTTCCTGTCCCCATTAGAAAGCAAAAGGAGAATTTTCAGCTGTACATTTGTTTTTTAAAAATGGGATGTATGTGTGGTTGGGAGATCGAGGGGGCTGCATACAATCTGTAGGCTGTACTTTCCCCACACATCATATAGTGCATTATATCCAAATAGATATGGGAACAAATGGAATGGACACCTGAACAGGATCTCATCATCGGAACGGGAGTAGCTTTGATGCTCATGCACACTCTGGTTCCCATAAGACTGCTTAATGGACTCCGGAAGAGACTCAGAAAACTTTTAGTAAATTCTAGTGTGCCAATTCTAAATATGCTCTTGCACAATGAATTACTTTTTCTGGATCAGGTTACAGGAGTGACTTGAAAATCTGAGTAAGTAGCAAATGCAGACATACTTGAAAATCCTGGAACTATGTACAAATCATCTAAGAGCTAAAAATTCCTTTAACTTTGTGTGAAAACAGGAGGCTTGTTTGAAAAAAGGAGGCTTTACAGGGACGTATGGCAGCCTTAGATGGTTTGTACACTAATATAGAATGCAAAAGGTAAACTGAACTTGCATAATGAATCTGCACTTGATTTAGTTTTAATACCATGTAACATCTAACTATGTCGGGAAATCATTTTAATGATAATCTGCAGATAAATGATAGGGCAAATTGCTGAAATTTTGCTATTTAAGAAACAAAACAGTATCTTCCAATGTGATTTGAATAACAAGGTTTACCTCTTGTTGTAAGTATGTAAGAACAGCTGCTAGGACAAAACTTTGGGTAGCCATATCAACTATAGTGAAAAATAGCATATCAAAGGTGAGAAGAGTAGCTTCGTTACCATAATAAAGAACATCACTGAAAGAATGTCCTTCATCTGCAAGAAAGCAAATAACTGGTTAAGAAGCTTATATATGAAAGTTTTGTACTATAAAATGAAAGTTTTGTACTATAAAACAGGAAAAATGAAAAATGATAAAAACAACAAAAAACAGCAGGTGATATGCCGCAGATAACACCTATCACAGTAAATAAAATAAATATTTGTAAAATGGCTTTGAATAACATGATATCTTAGTTATAGGCCAATGTTCATAAAAACTTATGTGGTGATAAGAAGAAAAGGCCAGGTGACTGCCTCCTGCTGGGATGTCATTGAACTAGGAACAGATTCTTTTTTTGTTACAGAGGACATTAGAATCAACCAACATGTAAGCAGAGGAGAAGAAGAAATGAACTATCCTTACCTTGCCCTATTTAAATAGTAAGGTTTTAATACGACAGTGGGGGTATTTAAATAGTATTAAACACCACCACCCCAGATTAAAATCCTACTATTATTCTCTTTTACCTTATTCAAGCCACTTGGGTAGCTCTATCAATTGAAGAAAAAGATGCAATTCTGTTAGATAAAAACTTTAAAAATCAAATAGATTGCCAATAAAGATTCCTTGTCAATATACTGAACAATCTCACTGAGAGTTTGGCCAGTTAAACATTTGGTTCTCAAAAGGACTGAAGGAAAATGAAAACATGCTACCCTTCTGAAAACCTTCCAGATTCTCTTCTACACTGGAAACAATTTTTAACACACCACCTTGTGAAGTTTATTATGTGACTTATACAATCCAGATTCAGGCTATTTTTTTTCATATTGTGTTTATGTCCTTGCCCAAAAATGGTTGAGAATGGCTGCTCTAAGGTATGTGCACAAAGAAGTTTAAAGTATATATTGTTAACAATATATTTCAATATATTTTATGCATATTTCTGAAGCATTAGAATGCTCTCTCAAATAAGTCACTGGAGCTTTTACAGGCATAAGCCATTAAGTATCATCTGCTTGCATAAAATACTCTAAAACACAGGTGCACAATACCATTGTAAAAGATGCTCTTTTCCATTGGTTCCATAAATTCCATTCCAAGGATTCGTTCTAATAACAGTTTGTCCTTTACAATATAATCCATTTCCTTATGAACCTAAAAAAGTGGGAAACATAACAATAATCCCCAAGAAGATAAAAGCTAAATAACCTTTGGAAATACAGGATTACTTATTTAAAAAGAGAAATGAAAAATACTATCTATTGAGGAACTTGTATTCTGTCTTTCCATGTCAAGGTTGATCAACACAATATTATAATAATATTAAAAACAGAATTTAGAGGCAGAATACAAATTACAAAAAAAGAACAAAAATGTTTCATGAAAGAGTAACAACAATATTAGCAAATCAGGCAAGCCAAAGTTTAGCCGAAACAATAGATTTTCAAAAGGTAGTACAAAACCACCATGCAGGGAGTAAGGTAGCTCTCGTAGCAGAGGTTTTCTTATACAATACAGTGGTATACACAGAGAATGCTGTAGGGAAATGACATAAAGAAAGGGACATCTTAGAAAGGGAATTGATATGGCATTTCTTGAAAAACCAAAGAGACCCCATAAAATCCCATGACAAAATTGCTAATCTATGTTTCAGTTAGGTGTCAATTGTAATACATACATGATCAATGAATGATCCTAGAAACTTATTCATGGTATGGTATGCTTTAGTTCTCTGTTCAAACGTAGTTGCAGAAGAATTCAAAAGCCTCACAGGACCGTGTTTCTGAGAAAGAAAGGCAAGTAAAAATGAATTAAAAGCATATGTATTGGGGGCGCTTGGTGCCCTCAACCTCAAACATGGAAGACTTGCAACAACCTATGTGCTTGTTCCTATTATAAAAATCTTTTTCTTACACCCATATACTTTTAACTTCCTCCCTTGCCTTTCCTGGTTAGGAAAGGTATGTGTGGAAGCAAAGTCAGTTCCTGACTGAGCTATGTAGACTGAGGAATGCTCCCTGATCTACATAGTTGAGTCAGGACACAAGTGACGCCTGATGGAGCCAGCCGGGAGATGATAACATGAGAAGAAGTCCCCCATTCTTGTGCCAGATTCTGTGTTCCATCCTTAATTTCACTTTCTGGATAGGAGTTTTCATGAAATGAATACTTTACGGAGTTGCACAAAAATTGCACTCCATGTAGAAACCTCTCCTGGCCAGGCTACCATAGCTCGCTCTGAATCATTCAATAACACAGATGCATAACTGAGAATCATAATTATATGGAAGGGGGGGAATATAAGTCTTATTCAGGCAGCATGTCTAGAAGAATGTTAAAACGGTGGTGGATATGGGAGGAGTTTACACGAGCCCTGTTCCAATGCAGAATTCAGTCAAATTTTTGCATATTGAACATGAAGGTCTAATGATGAGACAGTAGATTTGCTTGTAGCAAACTTAGCATACATAACTCCCAGAACTGGGAGTCTTGATAAAGCAGAGCTCCTGATCATGGGAGCTCCATTAGTGCATCTAGATGAATGTGATTACAACCTCTTCTTCAAAGCTAGGTGGGATGTTCTCATTGATGTCTGGTGGGGAACTGGATGTGCTTATGTGCATTACTGGATACATCCTCCCCATGCTTTCCAGTCAAAAGCCTGAATAGCTGAAAAACTCAAGGGTACAATGTACAGGTGAAAGAAATAAGGCTTGTCTGAGGAAAGACTTGATGAATTTGATTCTTTAAAACAACGATTCCATTTTAAATGTAATATACATACCCTTGTTAATGTTTCATGGATCCTGTCATAATGTTGCCTCATCCTGGCTGAAATAGAAATCTGAAATGTCTGGCCATCTGTGTTTGGTAGCAAACCTCTTTGACTACACAGATTTTCCTGTGAAGGTGACATAAACCAGAATTGAGATGCAGCATGTATAAGGAATGAATTCAAGAATGTATTGTCACTGTCACTCTCAATATAGTTGTACACCACAACCAAGAAAAATACTCTTCATGTTACTTAAATATAAAACCAAGATGTATTATGAAAGGTGATACTGTAGTAATTGTATCCTTTTTAAAAAAAGGTTCACATTTTAGAACAACAGGCAAAAAATGTCACCTCTAACTAAAGCCTCTTACTTTATGTGAGGCTTATTTGTTAGTAAAGTGCTTATAATTATGAAGAAAGAGATTGTGTTTCCTAGGGCTGCCATAAATCAGAGGTGACTTGATGGCATGTAACAACAACTACTACAATACTGGTATAATTGGATTAAGATATTATGCTGTGTATGGTTTGTAGGTTTTAACTGTCACTGTCATATACTGAATATATTAAAGTATCTGGAAGTTTCAATCTCTGATTTGGAAAGCTGCAGTGGACCTTGCCTGAAATGAATAAATGCTCACAGTCTTGCCGGTAAAATATGGGGTTCACAAATTTCCAAAAAATGTTGATAATTCACCGGGCTAGCAAACAAGGCCCTAGAGAGCTTACTCAGCTCTATAGATCCTGGGCTATATAACTAAGTGCTAGTAAAAATTAAATTAGTAAGAATATAACAAAATAAAATTAAGTAAGTATGAAGATCTTGCCTACACTCAAGTGGAAGCATACCCTTACAGCAAGAACTACCCTGTTTCCCAGAAAATAAGACCTAACCTGAAATTAAGCCCTAGTATGATTTTTCAGGATGGTCATAAGCCCTACCCCAAATAAGCCCCAGCCAAAAGATGAAATAATTGTATCTGAATAAATGTAGATTGTTGCACATGACAATAAAACATCCCTTGAAAATAAGCCCTAGTGTGTTTTTGGAGCAAAAATTAATATAAGACCCTGTCTTATTTTTGGGGAAACACAGTATTTACTGACATTTTGTCTTCAGCAATTGAAAGAACAGAATGATGACCCTTTACTGCTCTTTTCACATCTAAAGATGCATTGAGACAAAAAAAGTTGTCTGAAAATATACAAATGAAGAAAGCACTTAAAACAGTGCTATCCATGCACAGCCCAAACTTTATACAAAAAAGGTAGAAAATACCATTTTACATGGCCTAAGAAAAGGTGACAATTATAAGGTTGCTGTCTGTCCTGAAAACCAATGTAAAATCACAATAATCACATGGATTCTAATTTATATTTGAATGCATAAAAAGTTTATAACATCAACCCTTCAAGTGGAAAATATGTCTGATTTTTTACTTTTTAACCAATTCTCTAACCTTACACTATTTTTTTATGCAGCAACCAAAGGACAAGCAAATACTTAATGATGACACCTGTCACACACACTAATGTTGAATAATAAGGCCAGTCTTTGCAATCTCTCATCCTAGTTCTTTTACATACCGCTTCTCTCTTTAGGTTCATATTCATCTCTTCCATATTGGTATCTGAATGGCCATGCACAGACCGACCATGAATATAATAGCCAAAGCATCTGTGTGACAACAGAAAGACTGAAATCTATAATGTGAGAAAAATACAATTCAGCAATTTAGCACAGATTCAAATAATGAAAATATTACTTCACAATGCTTCCATTCAATGACAACTTGAAGTCCTTTCCCACAAGAAAGCACACTGGGGCACCAAGGTATTTTGCAAATCGACAGTTCACTAGCCACCAATATATTACTACAGCTCTTACCAATAATACACTTTGAAATGACCTTTGTTATTGAGGCATTTGTGAAATGGTAAATGCAAGAAAAGGATGTGTTCATGTGTCTGTTTTCCAAAAAATTGCTGGTTTTCTAGTAAGGGAGGTGGGTTGCAGAATGAATATAGCTACAGCAAGGTACAATGATGAAGAACCTTCATTTTCTTAAACATTCAGATGTTATTACACAATAATACACTTTGAAATGACCTTTGTTATTGAGGCATTTGTGAAATGGTAAATGCAAGAAAAGGATGTGTTCATGTGTCTGTTTTCCAAAAAATTGCTGGTTTTCTAGTAAGGGAGGTGGGTTGCAGAATGAATATAGCTACAGCAAGGTACAATGATGAAGAACCTTCATTTTCTTAAACATTCAGATGTTATTACACAGGATATGGGCAGAATGAATATAGCTACAGCAAGGTACAGTACAATGATGAAGGACCTTCATTTTCTTAAATATTCAGATGTTATTACATAGGATATGGAAAAAACTCACACATTAAAAACAGGTTTGTGTTCTTTTTAGCTACTTCATGGATTCAGAAAGTTTAAACAGTACTCCTAACAACCAGAATGTTTTTGTAATACTGTTTGGAGTGTCCTGACTGAGTCTTTTAAACCAGTGGTCCCCAACCTTTTTGGAACTGCAGACCAGTTGGCGGAGTGGGGGCACCCCTGCGCTTACGAGTGGGCGTGGCAGGTTTGTGGGTAGGTGTGGTACATTTGCAGATGGGCATGGCACACTCTTGGGTGAGTGGGGCATATGCACCGTGCCTGTCCGCGAACACACTCTTGGGTGAGTGGGGCATATGCACCATGCCTGTCTGCAAACGCGCCTGTTCACCAGTGCATACATGCGAGCACGCCACGCCCACCATGCATGCGTGCAGGGGGCGGGTATATCTGTCTCTACGGCGCCTGCTCACCCGTGCATGCATGCGAGCACACCACGCTCACTATGCATGCGTGCAGGGGGTGGGAGATCTGTCTCTACAGCTTGCTCCTGCAAGCCCATGGACTGGTAGCAGGTTGGGGACCCCTGTTTTAAACTACGGGCTGGATATTCATTTCTGAGTCCTCATCACAGAAGGAACAAAATGCAAACACGAATGACGTTTTTGTAAGAAACTGGTAATACATAAAGAACAGGAGCCTTACTTATATATTAATACATTATACTGTTACATTATACACTGTTAAAGTAGAACAAACTAGATTCATGCTTCCTTTTAAGGTCTGAATACCCTTTATGAAGAAATACTCACATTGCTCATACAGCACAAGTCAACAAACTGCCTTATCTTATCTTCTATAAATCTTTCATAGAATACAGAAAAATACACCACCTGTGAAACAAAATTCACCTTTGTTAGTGTGCTCATGGAATATGCTTTCCATTTCTCTATTTATATGTAGCAAATTTCAGCACAAGCAGTAATGATAAGAAAGGCCCGGCAGCTCACTGCACCACTAGATACATATCCCCAAGAAAATAGGAGCACTTCCAAAAAGAGGCAAGATGTAAAGTGTTGATCTGTAGTGGTACATATTCAGAATACTGAGTCAGATGGTCACTATTTGCTAAGGAGTGTGCCCCCCCGTGTGTATGTTTTACTCCACCTCCCATGATTCTTTGAGAATTCTCTAGGCACACCTAGAGACACCTACACTTCACTCATCCAGAAGAGGCCCTATCTTCCAGATTAGTTGTAGAAAAAGAAAACTACCCTCATGCCTCCTGACAGACCTAGGCCCCACTTCTTTTTTTGAGAAAGGGATGGGACACACTTTAGAATGAGCACACCTACTGCTTTCCCCTCTTTTGCTCTTCTTTTTTTAGACAAGGTATGAAAGCTGCAAAAAAAAAAAAGCCAGATTCTGTGATTTATTTTATAGCGTCTAAGCCTTTCCCCAGTTCACTTCCCCAAACCTATAAATTCTAAATTAGTTTTTTTCTCGCACACCTATTTATTTAAATTTAATTTTTATATTTGTAAACAGCTTTTTCACTGGGAATCCATAGATATGTTTCTGCAAACACTAGTGTGCTTAGTGGTAAACACTATGTATTAGTGAGAATGTTGAAGGGAGTGAGAACAGACTTTTATGCTTAAAAAATCCATCTTACACTTGCAGAGGCTGTTTGATTAAAGCACATCATTATGATAACTTTTGAGAACTCCTGTATTAATAATTGAGGGATATTCATTGCCCATTTTCTTCCTCAAGGAAACAAGTGTCCAAACATCTACTTCTAAAGAAAAACCTAGGTGTTTCTTTCCTGTACTTTGAATCAGACGTATACAATATGGTAATGATGCATAATCAATAAAATCTTAGTCAAGGTATGTATTTTGAAAGAAATACAATTAATTAGGCATTGATGCAAAAGCTTTACCTGTATTATGGCAATGACTAGCCAAAGTGCAGCAGATACCCCATATCTGAGAATGCGACTGGAGGGAGCTAGGTAACTTTCAGGGTTTCTAGTCAGGCTGGAAGAAGAGTCCATTAAGGCCAGATTTGAAAATCCCACTACCTGAAAATAAAATTTAAAAACATTTGTAAGTAAACTGTATACATTATTAATTTCAGCTATATCTTAGAAAACAGTACTTGCTTACTAAATTTCTATAGTTATTCACTTAAAATTAATAATCTGGGCCCTCGCTGCACAGAAGGACGTATAATTGTGACAAAAGTCAAGATACAATGATTTCATGAACTTTGCTATTAGTTTCTTTCATTCCCCTTCCAAAATGACCTGAATTATTTTTAGTTAAGACAGGAAATTAAAATCAGCATGAGACGATTTTAGCCATAGAACTTAAATATTTGTCAGTTCAGACAAATGAATGCTGATTGCCATCCTGTTGATTATGTGATATATTTAACTGAGCAGCTTGTTTTATTTCCTGCTTCAGAAGCTTCACATGACAGCCAATCCTTAAAGGTGAAAAGGCCTCTTATGTCAACTTTAATCCAGATTACAGCACTAGTGATATATCTGCATATTAGAAAGAAACAGATTCAACACACAGTTCTGTGCTGTGTATTGATGATAACTTCACCTGTCACCCATAATATAATAAACATTTTAAAAACACCAAACCATTTTGTTTATTTTTATTTAGTTCAAACACACAGATCTGTGTCACTGATGCTGCACCATAAACAGGTTGAAAAAGATTAATATCTACTTATTTAAATTTGACTTTAATAAGTAACACATTGCGCATGTACAGATAATTGAACAAATTATTATTAGTTTTAATTAAAAACAGGACAAACACAATAGACTTCAGCATCTACTGCATGCTGTTAATCTTAAACTGTTATTTATATAACATATTTGAAAACTGTCAGCATCAGTTTGATTGTGAAAACTGAAAATCACCTCTAAAAAGAAGAGAACAGTAAGAACTTGGAAGAGTGGATTTATTTTCCTGATGGTCTGAATTTCATTCCATTCATTTGCTATGAAGTATGTTCTCCATATGCTTACTGGTACAGGAACACTTCTCATGCCATTTTCTCCTATGGAGAAAAAACATCAAATATTAGATGTCTGAAATTTGAGTACCAGTGACACAAAAGTAGAAGCATTATGAATAAGTGGATACATGTGGCAATACATTATCATGACTCAATACAGATGGAATATGGGCATTTCTTGTTTCTTGGACTATTTCACATATTTCAGAAGCTAGCTCATGTTAAAGATCTGGTGTAGGTTAACCAAGTCCTATTTTTAGTGTCTAAGGGGTACAGTGGGCAAAAATCGTGCAACCACATTGATTGGACTGGCCTTCAGATATATGTTGAAGCTGAGGCTGTCTTACTTTGGGCACATCGTGAGAAGGCAGGATTCTCTGGAAAAGACAATAATGCTGGGAAAGGTGGAAGGCAGCAGGAAAAGAGGAAAACCAAATATGAGATGGACCGACTTCCTAAAGGAACTCAGAAGTTTGGGTTTAGAAGAGCTGAGCAGGGCAGCTGAAGACAAGATGTTTTCGAGATTGGGTTGTCATGAGTTGGATGTGACTTGGTGGCACATAACAACAATAAAAACAACACATATACAGCCTATTGGATGGACTACTGACCTGTGGAATGGCCTGCCTACTGAATGGAACTGAAGATATCGATAGTTTGTTTCATAAACAGCATGATCTACTGTTTCCTTTTGGTAAAAAGGGCTAAGAGTCTTTCTCAGACAGGACTTTTGCATTATGGACAAAAGACAAAGCTCTGGCCAAGCTGGAAGACAAAGGAACAGTATGGCTAGGCTACAAAGTTGGATACCTTCAATGACTCCATGCACAGAGTGTACCCTAAGATGCTACGATCATGTCATTTCTCTTAGGACAAAAGGATGATTTATTTCCTGGGAATAAAGAAAGGTAGTGCAATGTGCTTATTCTGTCAACTTGCTGTCTCCCATTATAGAACTGAATATTAGTGAAGGTAAGGAAGCCTGGAAATTTAGGTGTGTTGGTGGAACAAAAAAAGTTACTGCTTGCGAGGAAGAAAGATTCACACTGACATTCATGCTCAAATGCAGATGTTTTTAATCTTTCCTGAACTAATGTTTACTTTTGCTTTTAGATTTTGAATACTTTAGGGCCTTTGGGTCTTACTTTGCCTTAATTCCAGGGGAACCATTAATTTTTGCAATAGGTTACATTATTTCTTCTAAGATATTCTACACTTCCCTTTCCCTTGTACTTCTTTTTATAAAGAGCTAGGTTTTCCTGAAATAATTTATAGTCCATGGACTGCTCTGAGTGAACTTTGATTCTCTTACTTTCTTATTTATTTGTTCAAAACATATACCCAAACAAAGTGACCTCAATGATTTATTTTACATCTGTCCTTTTGATTTTCCCATCTGATGCTCCTTGATCAATTTTCCCACACATTCCCCTGACTACTCGGGAAACTGTTCTTTGGAATAGGCAGCGATGTTTTCTCAGTCTGTAGGTTGAAGACTGCTAGACAAATAAGAATACAGTGAGCTTTAACTAAATGGCTGGTGGAAGATTAGGAGCAAATGCAGTATTTTATAAAGAGCTAACAGAATGTGTAGATATTTCTATTTGTATATGACTATTCTTTATCAGATGGCCATCAATAAAACAAGTTAGAGATCTGTCTTTTACAACAAATACTTTGCATAAACAGCTCATGGGTTTTCAGTCATGTCAATACATGTTTAAGTAGTCCAAACTTTTGATGGCAATATCCTGCACCATCTTCACTTCTCTCATAAAGTTGACATAGGATATTGCCATCAAAAGCCTTGATTAGTTAAACAATAAACATGTATTGACACGACCGGAAACCCGTGAGCAGTTTATGCAATAAAACGAATATTTCTCATTAGGGACCAAACAAGACTTATTGCAGGAGGTTTCTGAAATGTAAATGAAGTGGGGAAAGCTGTGCAGCTGCTTCATATTCAATACAAAGAGTCATGTACATACAAAGGGTAGGGGGGAGCTCTTTCTCAAGTTCCACTGACTTAAATTGGAAACTTAAGGACACAAGCCTGAATCCAGAGGCAGGGGGTACCTGCTGGTACCTCACTTGGAGCTGTTTCACAAACACCATAGAAGGATGCAGGAAGGATGGGAAGAAACTTAGTTCTTTTGTAGGGGTGGTCTAGTGTGAGTCCAATAATAGTTTTACGCCATGACTTGAAATGGAACTGATGGAACATATGAGGTACTGAAATTTTCCTGTGCTGTAATCTCAAAGCATATCAACCTGCTGTGATGCAGCCAAGCCACAAAAGTGGCCGCTTCCCATACTTATAGATAGGGACTCCTGTATGTATACACACAACTTCATTTTTCTTCCTTGAACATAGAATCTGAACAGTTGGCTTCATAATTTTTGTTTCAAACTTTGCACTGGAAACTTTCTCAAGGCTGTATGTGGCAGAGGATGTCCACCCTATCCTTTCTGAATTTATATCTTCCTCCTGTTTTCAAGTAAATATTGTCTCCCAAATCAGCTGATGTCAATAAAAAGAAAGTTTGTAAGTCAAAGCACAGGCCAAAGAAGACAAGACACTGGAAAGAAGGAGAATGGAGGGAGAAGATAGAAGATGATGTTTGGTTTGGTCAGAACAAAAGAAAGGGGTAAGTTACAACAGGCATTTGGGAGCCAAGCCATAACCGACAGAGCAACTACTGTATTTTTGGCCAACTGCAGAGGCCCAGCTATGCTTCTTCCCAAGTTTATAGTCTCAGAACAACTGGTAGTTAGTGCACAGTGTACTTCTGGCTGGGGTGTGTGTGTGAGAAAGTTATCTTCACTTGTAATGTTCTTTCTAGGGGGCAAAGAGGGAGACTTCTTACCCCTCCCCGGCTTCCTGGCCAGCAGTCGATATCAGTAACTTGTTTAAGCTCTACAGTCCTCAGGCAGCTATGAATGAACAATGCACCAGTACTCTCTCATCACAGTACTTCAGAAAAGTCTTTTTTACCAAATGAGTGAAACAGAAAAGCAACAACGTGAAGCATATGTTTTCTCCAAGTTTGCATATGATAAAGTTGCTTGTCCCTTGAAAGGACATGTCACATACATAAGAAGGTTATTTTCACATACCTTCAACAGCTTTAAGAACTTTTCCTTTAGGGCGCTCCCAGTCAATGAAAAAGATATCAGTTGTAAATTGGGAAACAAGCAGATGCAAGAATTGCAGGGTCTAAGGAAATTGTTTAATGAAACAAAAATAAACTTAAATAAACATTCAGGAAAGGAGGACAACTGATTAAAAACAGGCATAATTTAGAATTACGCATAGAACTGTCCATAGTGCACATAAAGAAACAGAGCAGGGGCCTTAGCAGTTAAGTCTGAAGTCCTATATACACTTGCTTTGAAGTAAGTCACATGGAAAACCATAGGCTAGACTTTAGCTCCATGCACAGAGTGTACCCTAAGATGCTACGATCATGTCATTTCATGTAGCGCTATGGGGCGGTATATAAGTCCAATAAACAAACAAACAAACAAACAAACAAACAAACAAATAAATAATAAGGTTATTTTCACATACCTTCAACAGCTTTAAGAACTTTTCCTTTAGGGCGCTCCCAGTCAATGAAAAAGATATCAGTTGTAAATTGGGAAACAAGCAGATGCAAGAATTGCAGGGTCTAAGGAAATTGTTTAATGAAACAAAAATAAACTTAAATAAACATTCAGGAAAGGAGGACAACTGATTAAAAACAGGCATAATTTAGAATTACGCATAGAACTGTCCATAGTAATAAAAATGATAATTTCTGTCCAATATTTTGAGCTCATTTATTGGGGTGGTCAAAATGCAGCTGTGGACAACATGTGTTCCCTAGCTGAGCATCCCCAGCCTGCCTGCTGAAAATCAGAAGAGGCTATCCAGACACTTTTTGCTCTTATCCCCCTCCCTGCCCCAGATTTTTCTGCAGTTTTGTAAAGAGTTTTCCCATTTTGGCAATTATTCAGAGACCTAATGAAGAGAAGCAGCTACCATGTTAACTGAGCAAATCTGCAATGCTATGCACGCTGTGATCCTTTTCTTCTGTTAGCAACTGAAAATAAATTTCACCTTCCACTGGGGAAACAAGCTCTATGGAAATCCACCTCAGTCCTAATTGTTCTAACGAGAGAAACAGGAGACAAAGACTATTCTCCAGAGGCAGATTTTTGTCGTTCTATTTTCCTCCTAACATTTTTAAAGCCAAATGATAGACTTCTAATAACCATTCACAGAGCTGGCACTTGAGATTTTTAGGCTTCACAAGGATAGAATTGACTTCTTTTTGAACATAATGAATAAGTCAGAACTTCAGTATTGCAGGTGATTAAGCAATAGCATGTGCTCCTCATGCAGAAAAGACAGGGCTCTATACTCTTACTGAAGTTTTATTCCATGGGTAAAGTATGTATTTATATTTCTTTTATTTTAATGAACAGCAAATATTAATGCGAATATTCTGTTATCCCAGACTACAGATAGCTGGGTGAGTGACCGGTAGGTGGATTGAGGCTGTGTGGCATCCATCAGCTCTGAAGAAACCCAGAAGTAGGTGCTGTATGTATGTCCAGTTATTGTAAGCATGTTTTTGAGAAGGCTTAAAAATGTTGTACCTAGAAGGAAGTGTTGTGAAACTTACTAAGAAAGAATTCAGAAAGTTTACCATGTAGATTTTCTTCAGAGAACAACAAAACTGGAGTATTGTCTAATGGTAAGCTTTTTCCATCTAAGCAGTTATCAACTGCAAGGCTGGAAAACAAGCATGTTTACAGTACTGAAGGGTAATCTGCTTACCTTTAAAGCAAAAGCACATCCAACATAAGAAACAAAATTATCTTCTTGACTTGGCAGAGGTAAGAGAACAGAGACAAACTGCTGTGCCTGCAAAGTAAAGGGCCTTCATTATACCAGACAGCAACCACATTATGTGTTTAATCCTATTACACCAACGTCTGTATTTGATTATAAAATAGTGGCTGCTTTTGTAAAAGTTACAAAAGCATGAAAGAAAGTAGGATCCAGAGCACATTAATTAATTGTACTTACTACTGCAAGGACACTTACAGTCAGAGAGAGAGGTGAACAAAATATATACCATATTTTTTCCATGTATAAAACAACACTTTTCCCTAAAATAATTAAAGGAAAAATTGAGGGTCGTTTTATACTCAGAAGTAAGGGGGGGAAAACAGATCAAAGTGCTTTGATCCCTGCTTTCCCCCTCCACATTTTGCAAAGAAAACGGAGGGGGGAAATGATTTCTGCTTTCCCCCTACATTTTAATTGCAAACTTTCTTGTAAAGAAAGAAATTTTGGATTAGAAAGTGTGTGTGTGTGTGTGTGTGTCTTATACATGGGGATTCTTATACACGGAAAAATACGGTATCTATAAGGATAAACATGCACAATATTTTACAGATACAACTTGCCTCTACAGTCTGATGAGAGTAGCCAAAAGGGAAAATAAAACACAAAAACATTTAGACGTCATATAATCACTCATAATTATCTTTTTAACTTGCAAAAAGGGAGGAAAATAGAAACTTACTTTGAAGAATACAAGCCAATAAATCCCTGTTCCCACTGTGATGATGAAGAAAACATTTGCAAGGTCTCCAGAGTAGAACAGCAAGAACTTCAGAACTGTCTAAAACACCAGATTATAAATTTATTATATGCAATGCAGAACAATTCGTCCCAACAGAGACAAGGAAAAATGCTTCTAACCATAGTTAAACAGATGTAGAGATTCTGGACATCTAGTTAGCTTCACAGCTGAATTTCAGAAAAGCTGACGAGGGAGGACCACAGTTCAGTATCTGAATTTGGCACTAAATATAGACAGTCACTGCTTACTTTTTCTTTTAATTTGTGATTTTGTGCAAAGCCGCAAACATTCTATGGCCAAAAGAGTCTTCACTGTGCACATAAAGAAACAGAGCAGGGGCCTTAGCAGTTAAGTCTGAAGTCCTATATACACTTGCTTTGAAGTAAGTCACATGGAAAACCATAGGCTAGACTTTAGTTTGCCCTTCCATGAGTGGAAGGGCTAATTCCATTTGACAAAGGAACTGGGATTAAGCAGAGGCTTCTCAGTAGAATAGGGTGGCAGGGCAGTGCTTCTCTCTTCCCATTGAAAGCCTAGAGTACCATATCACACTCTATTCCAAAGGATTCCCCTAGCTCCAGAGCAAAATGAGGCAATTGTGAAAACTGTTGTTTATCCCTTTCCCCCACAAAAATATACTGAGTCCAAGTAGGGATCTAGCTTAACTTGTAGGACTACATAGTTACCTTGTTGCTATCTTCTTACACCTCATAGAGCTTTTTAAAATGGGGAAAAGTAAAGGCGAATCAACAAATATGGCTAGTACAGAACACTGAGCTTCTCTAAAGTAAACAAATAAACAGTATCCATATAGAAGAACTGAAATGAACTATTCCCTGCATAATAGCAAGTATGAACTGGGACCGAAAATGACAAGACCTAGGTGAAAAATGTTTGGATAACATGGTTCCTGCCTTTCTTGGACAGTAGGAAGGTTTTGCTTTTTCAGACTGATGTGTGTCTGTCTCTTGAACAGGCAGGGTCAGCCCAAGATATTTTGTTGCCTAAGGGAAAAGATTAGACGGTATCACTCTCTCTTTCTCATTCGGTGTACAGAAACAGAATAGATTGGCAGCAGAATATTCTTTCAATACTGGTAATGCATCAGGAACTTCAATTGCAGCTGAGGATAATAGGTTAGCTCAAAGGACTGTAGTACAGACTAGGTACTGCAAGCAAATCTGGTCTTCAAAACCTTGCTGGTGCTCTGAATCTCCAACATCCATTGCCTAGGAGAGCCACCTTACTTTGCTCAATGAGAGGGTTTGCTCTGAATGGGGAGGGGCTCTTACTCTAAATATAATCAATACAGAGAAGGCCCCATTCATGTTCATTTTCTAGCACCTCCAAGTAGAACTGAGAAAAACTTCTGTCTGACTGAACCCAAGTTTGCAATCCTACCGGACATATCTGTTACTAACTTGTAGCTATGGTAAACAGTACTGAGCTAGATGGACCAAAAGCCTGATCTGGTACAAGACGACTTCCTCTTTTCAATTTATTTATTTTCCACTTCTCCATCTCTGCATCCCTAGATAGATTGTCCACAACATTGGCTCCATTCACCTCTGTCTCTCCTTCATATTGTATACTATAATAGACTCATCTTCCTGCTTCATAATCCTGACCACTGTTGACAACAACCAATTGTTTCCTGCAGACTCTCCCTTATTTTTAACAATAACATTCAGACTGTGTATTTGACCAACAACATGTATTTATTCTCAGGAGATTCATTGTTCAACCTGTCTGATGGTGGCCCATACGTTAGCTACATATCCACAATGTCCATCTGGATACAGAGAGAAGAATAGCCAATTCTTCATTCCAGTTAATGAAACTACACCACTCACAATACAGTATATTCTTATGCCTCTCTCAATACAATATGCATGAAGTGCATAGAAGAAGCCATACAACGGGAAGCGTGTCTCTGGCAGACAGATTATGCAAAATAGGGAGGATAAGTGAAAACCATTTCCCTCAGATATTAATACACTAGACATGCCTTTGCATAACCTATCCCTTGCACCCATTACATAGAGATAATACTACCAGCCAATGTACTAGGATATTAGTATGTAAACTGATTTATATTCCTCCAAACTGCAAGAGAAATAATTATTACCATAACTGCACACTACCTGTAGAAGGTGGAGGTAGGATTGGAAAAGAATAAATATTCGTTCCTGCTGTAAAAAGATTCAGAGTCTTTTCCACATATCCAAGCCCACAGATCAGTGAGTGCTGAGTGCGCACACAACTGCAGAATTACAAATTTGTTAACTCGTGCATAGGTGAAACCTTAGGATATTTCCATAGATTGTACTGGTGTGGCTGCCTGTGTTAGTTTGATCCTACTTATATGAATCTACATACACCTACAGTGGCCCCTCGACTTACGCACGGCTCCACCTGCGGACTTTTCAAGTTACAGACCTCTCCAGCTGCAAAATTTCACTTCGACTTCTGGCCGGAGAATTGACCTATGGACTGGAAGGCTTTCCCAGCCTCCCCATTCAGGTCAGTAGGCCACCAACATGGGGTGTCTTATACACGGAAAAATACGGTATCTATAAGGATAAACATGCACAATATTTTACAGATACAACTTGCCTCTACAGTCTGATGAGAGTAGCCAAAAGGGAAAATAAAACACAAAAACATTTAGACGTCATATAATCACTCATAATTATCTTTTTAACTTGCAAAAAGGGAGGAAAATAGAAACTTACTTTGAAGAATACATCTTATACACGGAAAAATACGGTATCTATAAGGATAAACATGCACAATATTTTACAGATACAACTTGCCTCTACAGTCTGATGAGAGTAGCCAAAAGGGAAAATAAAACACAAAAACATTTAGACGTCATATAATCACTCATAATTATCTTTTTAACTTGCAAAAAGGGAGGAAAATAGAAACTTACTTTGAAGAATACAAGCCAATAAATCCCTGTTCCCACTGTGATGATGAAGAAAACATTTGCAAGGTCTCCAGAGTAGAACAGCAAGAACTTCAGAACTGTCTAAAACACCAGATTATAAATTTATTATACGCAATGCAGAACAATTCGTCCCAACAGGGACAAGGAAAAAAAATGCTTCCAACCAGAGTTACACTGACGTAGAGATTCTGGACATCTAGTTAGCTTCACAGATGAATTTCAGAAAAGCTGATGAGGGAGGACCACAGTTCAGTATCTGAATTTGGCACTAAATATAGACAGTCACTGCTTACTTTTTCTTTTAATTTGTGGTTTTGTGCAAAGTCGCAAACATTCTATGGCCACAAGAGTCTTCACTGTGCACATAAAGAAACAGAGCAGGGGCCTTAGTAGTTAAGTCTGAAGTCCCATATACACTTCCTTTGAAGTAAGTCACATGGAAAACTATAGGCTAGACTTTAATAATCCCCTCTGCGGTTCTCTGGAACTGCCACATAATCTGCTGGGTCAGATAATCCTAGAACCTCAACTCTTTATCTTGAAGGGACTCCAAGGGTCACGAAGTCTTGCCATCTGCTAAAGCAGATGATTTGATGTCATCTCAGACTGCCCCCCCTGCACTGTACAAGCAGCAAACAATGAAGTAAAATGTGGGCAAGATAACTAATAGTAATCTTAAAAGAAAAAAATGAAGGGAGTTGCAGGTTGAAAGCAGCTAAGGATCTTCTAAAAATCTGGTTTAGATCTTGGGGTCCCTGTTGTTTTAAACTATTTATTTAGAGGGCTTCTCTGCCACCATGGGAGGCATCTCAGAGGTCCCCCCCCCGCCACCAATTGTGGTTCTACCAGGCTTTCCCAGCGGGTAGACTGGGTCTACCAGGGGAAGCCCTCCCTGGTAGGCCCGCTGTACCCTGGGAAAGCCAGTGCTGGCGGCGGCGACCAACCTCCGAGAAGCCTCCCATGGCGGCGGACAAGCCCTTGGAGGGCTTCGGCAGTGGCAATGGAGGCAGCTGGGGACCCCGTGAGGCCTCTGGCAGCAGCGGGGAAGCCCTCGGTGGGCTTCGGCAGCGGCATTGGCGGCAGCGAGGGACCCCTTCGGACCAGTATGGTGCTGCTTTTTGCATTTATTTACTTTTTTTCGTGGGAGGTATTTTTTCTTAGGCCAGTTACGGATTAATGGGTTTTCAATGCATTCCTATGGGAAATGGACCCTCGACCTATGGACTTTTTGACCTGCGGCCACTGTTCCAATACGGATTAATTCCATAAGTCAAGGGTCCACTGGATTTCCCTAGTCTTCAATCCTATCATGCACACGTGCTAGCAAATTCCCATTGAAATTGATGGGATTTTTGTTAAGTAAATGAAATCAGGATTGAACAAATGAGCTAAAATACTTTGGCACTAAGCCTGGTCTATAATATTATAGAACATAAAATACACAAGTACACAGGATGTCTGTGTTCAAAAGGTACTGTATCAGTTAGGCTTTCCAACCACTCATACCTGCAGGTCAATCATGGGACTCCCAATACGCCTCTTCCATCCAGCAGTCTTAAGAAGGGACCACAGAACTGCCAGGCCACCCAGAACACCAAGCGCTATCTACAGAAGAACACAGACATTTTAATACTCCAGTCTTACAGATGTCTATGCAGAAATAAGTCCCACTGTATTCATCAGATATTACTCCCACGTAAGCCTGTGCAGAATTGCAAGCAAAGAGTTGTGCTTTGTTGTCAACAGAAATCAGCAGAGAAGTCCCAAAGGAACCAGAATTTGACAGGAAAAGGGAACTTACATCAGTCTGAATGCGAGCCTCTGACTGGTTCATCTCATAGTTGACAGAGAAAGAAACCTAAACAGTGAAATGATTTTAAAAACATATTAACAAAATAAATGGTATTTGGTGTCAAACTGCATATGATATTAAATTATAGTATACAGTATAAGGTGAAACTTAATTAAATTAAATGGAAGTTACAGATTGCTAAAGAACTTGCTGGAAGGACTAAGCAGCACAGTAAGCACCAACAGACATCATAAGACGAGTCCTCAAGAGAACCGATTGTCTCCTGCCCCCATGGTCGACCTGCCTGTGACCGAAACTCTCACAAAAGACTGGGGAAAATACAACTTGATGTCTACAGTCTGCTAGGAACTTGTAAGTCTGCAATATTTTAGCACTGGCTTTGTATGTCTAAAGGGACATGGTGGCGCTGTGGCTTAAACCACAGAAACCTCTGAGCTTCAAAATCGGAAGACCAGCAGTCGTAAGATCAAATCCACGCAACAGAGTGATCTCCCGTCACTTGTCCCAGTTCCTGCCAACCTAGCATTTCGAAAGCATGGAAATGTGAGTACAGTGGATCCTCGACTTACAGACTTTTCGAGTTACAGACTTCTCTGGCCACAAAATTTAGGTTAAACTTGCAGCTGGAGAATCGACTTACAGACCGGAAAAAAACCCAAAATGGAACAAAAACGGGCGGTTATGGATTAATCGGTTTTCAATGCATTGTAGGTCAATGGAGCCTGGACCTACAGACTTTTTGACCTGCAGCCACCATTCCAATACAGATTAATTCCGTAAGTCGAGGGACCACTGTAGATAAATAGGAACCACCTCAGTGGGAAGGTAACGGCGTTCTGTGTCTAGTCGCGCTGGCCATTGACCATGGAAGCTGTCTTCGGATAAATGCTGGCTCTACAAGTTGGAAACGGGGATGAGCACTGCCCCCTAGAGTTGGACACGACTGGACTAAATGTCAAGGGGAACCTTTACCTTGTATGCCAGACTCAGTATGTGGCCTTGGCCAAATTATCCACAGTGGTGCCCCGCATAGCGACGATAATCCGTTCCGGAAAAATCGTCGCTATCCGGATTCGTCGCTATGCGAAAAGAAAAAGCCCATAGGAATGCATTAAACCCTGTTTAATGCCCGTTTAATGCGTTCCTATGGGCTTAAAACTCACCGTTATGTGAAAATCCTCCATACGCCCGCCATTTTCGCTGCCCAGTATGTGAGGAATGGGTGCAAAAACACTGCGGGCGGCCAATTTTTTCCGGTGGCCATTTTGGAACCGCTGACCAGCTGTTTTTAAAACATCGCTATGTGAACATTGGTAAGCGAAACAGCTTACCTTTCATTGCAAAGCGATTTTTTGCCATGAAAAAGATTGCAATGCGATCGTTTTGCGATCACAAAAAACAAATCACTATGCGGATTCTTCATTAAATGGGGAGCTTGTTAAGCGAGGCACCACTGTATAAACATTCAACTTATAAGAAGGGAATAATTTTACATGTTGCAGGGATAATAAAGATTGCAATGCAATTTGCAAATGTAAAATACTGTACACTATTGAATGAAGAATTTTTAAATTACAATTTTAATATCCTAACCAATAAAGTTTGCAAGCCTCTGGTCTGTCATACCTTTTCTTCTATGCAGTTCTTAACTCAAGATTTGTCAGGGCTTAAGGTAACCTGGAAACCACAGACTTTGATAAATGAGTTTGTGCCTGCAAGTCGCAGCTGTTACTATCAATTAATGGCCAATGAAGCAAAAAGAAGAAAGGCTGTGCACAGTAACAAAACTGTATCCACCTTTTTGGTTGTAATGTAACATTTCTCACAAAGGTAACATGGGGTGTACTTTCAAGAAAATACTGTAAAAACATTTTATGTAGCTTTGGTAATGCTAGTCCTGCTATGATGAAGGCCTACCAGTGAGGACACGTGTACATGCACATATTGGGGTTCTAAAGAAACCCAGCCAACCCCAGCTAAATACTAGAAGCCCAAGTCTACTGTAGTTGCTCCTCTTCCCAGGGGTCAGCAAGTCTGACACCCCCTTCCTTCCAGAGCCAAACCAGACCTAGAAAGAACAACAAAACACAACTGAGCCTGGCAGTAAATATGCTGGTGACCCAAGTGGCCAAGATAGGACTTAGGACTGCCCTCTTTCTCATCATACTCTGAAAAGTACAACAATGTGGAAAATTTAATATTTATTAAAGGAAAGAAATAATAATAAGCCGATTACATCAAGCAGTAAAAGCACCAATTAAACTAAATAAAAGTAAAGACAACCACACAAATAAAGTAAGAAAACTAGCTAGCCTATTCTACTTTCTCAGGCAAACTCAGCATAGACATAGACAAGTTTTTGGGCTCACAGGATGCAAATATCACTAGTATAATAAAGGGCTGGAACTCAAGGCTCTACTTTTACTCTTAACTATTCTTATACTATTCACATTTGGATGACATCCAATCTCTGCTGGGTTTTCTCAGATTGCTGCAAAATACAAGTCATTCTGCACATACCCATTCCGACTTGGAATGCAGCTTGTGTTATGGCCAATTTACAGCACCTTTTTCCAGATGGTTTCAGAGCAACCTTGGGTTAACCTCCTACCTTTTGATAACAAGATGGCCCCCTCTTCCTTGCTAGCTGACACCAACCCTCGCTTCCTACTCTGTTCCCCTGAAAATAAGACTTAACCTGAAAATAAGCCCTAGTATGATTTTTCAGGATGCTCATAATATAAGTCCTACCCCCAAAATAAGTGAAACCCCACCCTCCACCAGGGACTTATTGTGCAGCAACTGGGACTGATTCCATCTCATCCATGCGGCCCAGCGGGATCCATACTTCCCCTTCCTCCTACCACCTCAACAAGCATGTTCCTGAAACAAGACAGAAACCGTCTGGTCCTGCGGCGGAAGGGGTTTGAGGCCAGTTTGTGTTGGGGCACTTAATGCCATTATCACCATGCTGCCAACACTCCCCACTCCCTGGAGGGAGTCACAAGAAATTCAGGCCAGAATACGGGGTTTGGAGAGAAATGACAATGTTCCAGAAGAAGATGACATGGCTGTATTTGAATAAATGTAGATTGTTGTACAGTGGTACCTTGCTAGACAATGACACCACTGTACGACGAATCCACGGGACTGTGACTTTTTTGCGATCACTATGGGAGATTTTCATTTGACACGATTAGGTCTGTGCTTTGCAAACTGTTTGTTCGCAAGATGACGATGTTTTCCGGCTCCGCAAAATCGCTGCCCTGTGTGTAAAGCAAATTAAGTGTCAGCTTTCACTAGAAGCTAAAAATAACCAAACAAAGGGTACTGTACTACAGTGGCATCATAAGAAGACAAGCTCACTGGAAAAGGCAGCAATGCAGGAAAAAGTTCAATGCAGGAGGAAAAGAGGAAGACTCCACATGAGATGGATTGACTCAATAAAGAAACCCATAGTATTTTGTTTGGTGCTGCAGTCCAAGTAGGACCAGGAGCAGAAAGACTGGGCTTCAGATTTTGGGAATAAACTATGATACTCTTATCTGCTTTGGGCATGAGAAATAGAGAAACGTGATTGCTATATACTTCAGACTTCTGCTGTTAGCAGAAACTGCAGAGCTAAATGCAGTGGAGATTAAAATTTAGACGGTTCCTTTTTTCATGGTTTTATGAAAGAGTCAAGTCTCTATGTGTCTCTCTCTCTCATACGCATGCACATACACAAACTCTTCCTCCCTCAATTTTCAACAATTAGTTGCTTCTGTTCAGTATGCCCATTTCCTCTTATTACATTTAAACAAGCTTGATGAAGCCACCCTTTCCTCCCTTAATTCAAGCATTTTGTCCTTCTTGCCTGTTCCTTTTTTCAGTTTTGAGTCAGTCTCTTTCTCTCTTACACCCACCCTCCCTCCCTCCCTTTCTCAATTTTTTACATACATTAAAACAAGCTGATGAAGTCACCCTTTGCTCTCTCACACCTTCCTTCCCTCCTTAACTGGAGTTTTCCCTCCTCCTGCTTACAGTCACCTCAAGCGGAAGCAGTCATTCACAAGCCAGATTGATTGCCTGGGGCTGTTCTACAGCTGTACCCAATCAAGCAGCCTTATCTCCGATCTCTAAAAGAAGGGAGGATTTACAAGTGCCGTAACCAAGGAAGGAGGCAGAGGTGGCTTCCAATTTGAGGTTTGGCTGCAGGGGGTGGGAGTGGGGGGGTAGCACTAGGCTCATTACCCCCAGGATTTTCATTTTTATCCCATTTGGGGTAATTTGCCCATGTTCCCTGACCACTGCTTTAATATAACAAATGAATAAATGTATCACTATAGGCAGGGCTTGAAAATTTTTAGAATGTCTCACCATTCAGTCAAAAATTTCACCAGTCAGCATGACTGGACTATAGCCTTGCAATTTCCAGTGGTGCCTCGCATCGCGAGCACACTGTTTAACGACAAATCTGCACAGCGATGTCGTTATTGCGATGTTTACATAGGCAAAACCTCACATTGTGATGATCGGTAAGAGTTTCGCTTACCGATCTTCGCATTGCGATGTTCTAAAAACAGCTGATCGGCGGTTCCAAAATGGCCACCAGAAGAAAAAAATGGCCGCCCGCTCTGTTTTTGCGCCCTGCCCTATGAAGGAGTCCTGCTTAGCGGTGAGTTCCCCCTCCCCACATAGCGACGTTTCCGGATAGCGACGATTTATCTGGAATGGATTATCGTCGCTATGCAGGGCACCACTGTATTGGGATTGGGAATCACTGATTTATACACTTAGACTTGGGTTGTTTTTTTACCTGCATGCCTGTGGGGTCATGAAGCTTGTATTTTGAATGCATTTCTTTTGAATGTCTCCAGCAAAAATAAAACTGAAAGGAAAGCCACCTGGCCTCTTAAGGAGCCACGGTTCCCTCCCACCCCAGGATGTGACTATAGGCAATTGTCATCAGAGAGGGGGTAGATGGTGCCTTTTTGTAATTTTGCCAAAAGTTTTTTAAAAATTCCTGTAGAAAGTTACAGCCTTATGAACTGACATTATATAAGCAAGGTTAATCACTAGGTAAGGGCTCGTATCTCTGCAGTGTAGACCAGTGGTTCTTAACCTTTTTGAAAGAAACTTCCCCTTGAGCCATTGAGGAAGTTATCATCGCCCCCCTCC